ACTAGGATGTATATCGTGGCCGGTTTCCGCATGCTGTTTAATTGCGGAATTGACATTTCCATTGGTTCCGGGCTTGTGTTCGGCCCCCCGAGATTTCCATTTTCTTCTGCTTTCCCCGACATACGTGAAAGAACATGTCCTACAAGTCACTTTGCACACAATGCCTTTCAATGTATTCAGCCTGCTAACAGTTGGGATTCTCAACTGAAAAAGTGATGTTATGTTGAATTAAACTATTTGTTCCTTCTATTTGAGAGGCACGCCTTTGAGAGGCACGCCTTTGTAAACCATTTTTATACAAGTTACCTTCAATCGGTGTCCCAGCAAAATCAGTCATCTTCTGAGGATCCAAGGTCACAATATGACCAGCCGTCAAGAAAAAAGCTCGCCTTTTCTGATTGGTTTCACGCGCGGCGTTCCGAGCTCCATCACAGCTCTGCCTTGCACGGCCTTGGCTCTGTCGACCTTCCTTCTTCACCTCAACCCGTTTGGGTTTCTGGTCTCCACTGGCCGAGTCAGCTGATGTGGTTGCTTCACTTGTGTCATCTCCAAATGAGGGTTTGACTTTCAAGAGGTGAAACTTGGTGGTAACCTCTTCGGAGTCATTATTACACAGCACTTCAACCACCTAGGGTACAGTCAAAATGAAACACGATAATTTATTATATGTCTTCGAACTTCACAGAGACGCTCACAATTCGTATCAACTATATTTTGCGTGTTTATGGACCACGACTCCGTCTCGGCCAATAAACACGTACACAAGAGGTTGGCAAATACCCACCTATCTTGACCTTACGCTTGGTCACTAACCCATATATATATTTCTGGGTCACTCCTTATTCTAGGGAAAACGCCAAGTTTCAATTTCGGCTTTGGAAAGAAAACCAATACTCAAAATTCGCTGACAAGCATTTGCTGAGCAAAACAAAATGCCCTTTTAACGTAAAAAAAAAAAAAAAAAAAAAAAACGTAGAGACTTACATGTAAGTTCAGTTTACGAATCTACTCAAGTGTTCTGAAATCTCCGTGTGCAGTAGTCTGGAAACGACCACTATGACCTCGTGAAAACGAAGGGAAATTCTGTTCACACTGCTTTTGAAAATTGAAACATAACTATGAAATTTCATCCAAAAGTGAAAAGCAGTGTCTGATTTTGTTTTTCGAAAAACGAAAATGAAAGTAAAGTAGATACGTCAATTTCATTATTTTATTATTTTTTTTTTTTT